GATTTGACTTTCTAAGTATGTTTTCAACAGCGTGATGAACAACATACAAAGGAAATAACACTAATGCTCTTCTCACCTAATACACTGTGTTAATAGTTGCTACTTAGTTCAATATCCCTATTCTTTAAAAATAAAATGGATTTCATTTATGCACTACAGTACCAAGCAGAAAGTGCAATAAAATTATTTTCCCCATATAAGAACACACTGTAAAGGCCCATTAAGACATAATTACTGCCAAAAAGGCATTTTACATTTCCTTGAGATAAGCTGCACTAGTGTACTTTGAGATTTCACTTCCATTGATTCAGGATTAGAGCAGCATGTTTAGATAATAAGCAGAAGGGTCTCAGATAACAGCCTGAGTGAATCATCGGACTATAGTGTTTAGTCTGAGAAAGTGTGTTTATCTGAAGGGCTCTTGGGACTAATATGGTTCCTCTTCAAGGTTTGAAGCAGGGGGTAAGAATCATAGTCCTGCAGGTTGGCAGGATAAACATGTCCTGTGATTTGCTAGCAATTTGAGAGATGGATTTCAGTACAGAGCACACTGTTGTTGTCAGCTTGAAAAGTGTCTGCCTGGAAATGAATTCATGTGCACACAACTCCAGACAAAGGAAAATCTCCCTGAAATGGCATGCCATCACATTTTAGGGCCAATTTTTCAAGTCTCTGACTCACACCTGGGAAATATACCGGTGCACTAAGTTTATCATAAAAAGCTCACGTTTTAGCAAACAAAAATTGGTGCAATAATCTCGGAATGAGCTGTCTCGCTGACGGGTACAGAAACCCATTTTTACACATACCTGCCTGATTTGTATCTGAAAACAATTTTTGCCTCTTTTACATATCAGATCAGATTGTTTTCCAGTGAAGGGAACTCTGCTGCTCTTTTAGTGTTCGGCGTGAGGTCTACACAGAGATATTGGGTAATGTGTCATGCAGGGGAAAGCTGTGGCAAGAATAAAAGCTCCTGTGTCAGTCAACAGTTTATAAATACAGCAGGAGAGATAACTGCTGTGCGTGCTCCACGAGGAGCATACTTCTGAGCTCCAGAAGTAGCAACATATTTTTAAGCTAGAAGAGAGGGTGAGAAAGCGTAAATGAGCGAACAGAAGGTTTCTATAACTCTGTGTGGAGGCTTTTTGTGCTTGGTAGGAGCAGTTGGGGGTTGTCACTCTCTGAGAATAATTGTGAAGGGAACTGAATGCAGAATAAAGAGCCTGAGAGCTGAATGTCCTTTCGTTTGCACCTGCAAGTTTGCTGGAAATCAGAGTTTATGTCAATTTGGATTAAATATTTGCAAAAGCAGATTATTTTTATGGTGCATTGGTTAAAAAAAGGGAAATCCCAGAATTACCTCCACCAACACTGCTTCCAAACTCAATGGACATGGGTCAACAATGAAGTTCAAGCTATCTTTATGAATACTAATTTGCATTTGCAGATTTCCATGAAGTTTGTCCTACATATTCCACATGCCATATTGTAGCTAGCCTTGGGAGTTAATAGCTAAAAAAATAAATTTCCTTATTTTTATAGATATGATCTCAATCATCTCACATTTATTGTGTTAGCTTTGTTTGCTCCTCTCTTTTTTTTTTTTTGTTTTGTTTTGTTGGTTTTTTTTTTTTGTTTTAATTGAAATGTAGATTACAAAAGAAAATTTTGGGTTGATACTTCTAGTTAAAGGGCCGAAGGCATCATTGACAGTTAACCAAAGGAATTATTGACAGCTTCTTCTAGATTCTGTTGTGCCACTGAAATAGAATACCAGCATCAATTTTTTTGTTCATTTCCTTGCAACACACCACATTTACAAGCTTTTCACGGAATTTTTAGGAATTTAGCTCTGGTTAGGTCTGTTTATGACAATCCAGTTACCAGGAGCTACATCAGTACCTACTCCTGAAACTCTCTGAGGTAAACAGATCCTGTCTGAAGCTGACTGGGGTGAGCAAACACAGGCTGCCCAGCTGGCAGGTGTAGAGGATGGTGAAGAGCAGGTGTAGTGAGTTCAGTGAAGCATAACTGCTTGCACCAGCCCTTACACTCTTTAAGAAAATGCCTCATGTTGTGCCTTCAGTGGGAAAACACTACTGGAAGAGCACAAAAGGACAAATAACAGTGTACAAAATATGTGTCCAGAGTCCATGCAACATCATTTTAATTCCTGAGATGAGCAGCTGTTCAATGTTATAGTGTCTCTGTATATGCATAAGAGATAAATCAGTAGCTAGATGAGCAATTATATTAATGTTCCTGGTTTTCACATTTTTTGAATGTTGTGCTTGGGCTTTTTTAACTTTATAAAGTTGAGAATGTATTTTTGAAGCACCGTCTATATTTTAAGGGCTTCAAACCAGATCTACCAGTTAAAGTATTGAAGATTTTTATGCAGTGTCAGATATGAAATCACATGTAGATTTTTAAGTCTAGATTTGACAATTAAAATCTGTGTTAATGATTAGTAGTTAATTTGGTCGGTGTTGAAATTCTTAATTAGTCCATAGGTACAGAAGGGAAAGGAGAAATATATTTGTTGAAACATATCCTCCAGCACAACAACAAAAAAGTTCAGTCGGTTTCTCTATTGACTTCTTGTGTTTCCCAAATAAGGATGAATTACATTTTAGCTCCTTGATCTCCTGAAGTGATTAAAGTCATTATTCAAAGTTGATGACAAAGTATTTATGACTGCAAGGACACCCAGACAAATGAGTTTTCCACTGCCTGATTTAGAAGCTACACCACCATCTCCAATTTGACGTAAAATCCAGGGGAATTAAAACCAGCTAGGTACCATCAAGGCACACATCAGGAGCAGCACAAATGGTTGCTTTGGATTTTTACCCCGAGTCACCAAAGTCAGAGCAGAATTTGTGTGAGCTTCAGTGAGAGCACCATTAAGTCCTCTGTGAAGAAAGAGCCTATTTCAGCTGTTGACTTCAATGGGAGTTGGATTAGGTCTTGATTTATTCTGTAGCTGTGTAGTGCAGATAGAGAGGCAACAAATCCAAAGACATCTGCAAAGACAAGCTTCTAAATCCAGGACATTTAGAATGGACAGCTTCTAAAAAATTGTGGGGAGGGAAAGTGGGAAGAGCTTCCTAGTTTACGCTGAGAATGTGTTTCGGTGATAACAATCTACACTGGAACAACAGGGGAATTTAAAACAGAGATTTGCTCATATCAAATCAACTTGGTTGATGCATTTCAACATTTCAACAGAAGTAAAATAGCTATGCCCAGGCTGTAAAATGGCCTGGGTTGATAAATCAGCTGAGTGTGGTGCTCCTGCCACAGGCCTCTACTTGCTACAGAGAGGAATGGATGAGGGAACAGGGGAGGTTTAGATTGGACATGAGGAAAAATTTCTTTTCTGAAAGGATTATCAAGGCCTGACCCAGGATGTCTGGGAAGTGGAAGAGCCATCATCCCCTGAGGGGTTTAAAAAAACATGTGGCTGTGGCACTTGGAGACGTGGTTTATTGGTGGGCTTGGAAGTGCTGGGTTAATGGTTGGACTCAATGTTCTTAAAGATATTTTTCAACCTTTAAAATTCTATGATTCTGTGAAATATCTGTACCACATATGTAACACGTGATCACTACAAATTACTACATACATATGGACCTCTAATATTGTAGATGTTTTGCTTCCTAATAGTGATAAAACTTAGAGATAAAATTCCAAGTGTTTTCTACAATTGTTCTCACCACCTTTCACTGACTGAATTAATCTGATTTCTTTCCTTACCTTGTAACTGTCTGTTATGACAAAATTCATAATGTTGGCAATCATATCCTCCTCCCATAAATTAAGAATGAGGTTTAATTCTAGCCTTTTCATATGATCAAAAAATTTAAAAATTACAGAATTTATATATGTGAAAATGACTGACAATAGCTGAACTTCCTTTAAATTTCTGGCAGCAGACTGCATTCCCCACCATTTGCAGTGCCCAGCTTAAGTGCATTCAGTCATCTGGGAAGCTGAGAACAAGGTTGCCAGGGTTTTGCTTCCCAAATACTTGTCTATTTAAATATATTTAACAAGTTCCTTGTTGGTTGTCCTGCTCCCACATGAGGTGCACACACACTATAGAAACTCAAGAAACTACAAAAGCCTTCAAGCAGACCCTGAGACACACCTGAGGAAAAGATCAGCAAGTGGCAGCATTTTGATTAAGCAGTAAAAATACCTTGAGGTGGAAAGGAAATTAGCTGAGTCAGGGAGAAGAAATTATTGTATTTAATTCTTTCTTCTTCACGACTGTGTATGAAGCTTAATTCCCTGTCTGATGTTCACACAGCAGACGTGCTGTCACAGAAACGGCAGAATCAGGGGATAGTTTGGTTTGGAAGGAAGTTTAAATTTAATCTCATTCCAACCCCCTTGCCATGGACAGGAACACCTTCCACTGTCCTAGGTGCTCCCATCCCCGTCCAGTCTGGCCTTGGACACTTCCAGGGACTGGACAGCCACAGCTTCTCTGGAAAACCTGTCTATGTAACACTGTGTGTTACTTTTGATGTTAACATCTTTTTCTTATGGGTAAGCTTTTGGCATTTAGCTATAATGTGGGGAGAAGATGAAATGTAACAAAATACTTAGTTTACAAATAGACCAGAAAATTCCTGTAATACATATAGAAGAGGAGGAATGAGAAAGATGTAAGACAATCAACACAGTATTTATTCATTTCGTTATTGTGATAGATGTTCCTGCATACACGAGAAAAAGAAGCAAACATCTTTTTATCTATTGTTCATTTCAGCCTGTCTGTCTCTGCTGATGAGATTTGGAAGTTATACTGTTCTGTACTGCAGCACTGCTTTAATCTTCCCCTCTGTTAATTCCTCTGTGTTATTCTGGCACTGCTTCCTTCATGTTTGAATAGGGAGCTTTGTTTTCAGCACTGTGACCCATATCTCTGAGGTTAAAATCTTTGAGTTTATCTCTGATTGAGTGACTCACATGGGAAAATTACTCACCTGTCCAGCAGTGTCTAGAATGTCCAAATAGGCTGGTTCATCATCAATTCGGACTTGAGTTTTATAGGCATCCTCTGAAAAACACAGTGCAGTTTGCTTAGGCATATGAGTGGCTCAGAGAATAGAGAATGAAACAGCTTTGGTAGTTTGGAGTAGGCTTTTCAAAAGCTCTCCAGTCTGACCTAGCCTTGCTTTACTTCAAAAATCCCTTTTTAAAGTCCTATCATCACTATCAAGTATTAGCAAAAGAGCCTTCTATCACACTACCTCAAAATACAAAAAACATTAATCTTTTCTTTCTTTAAAAGGGAAAAATTTTTCTTTCTTTAAACAGAGGCCTCAGGTTTTGCTTAGGTCACAAAGATCCAGAGATATCCTGCTGGTGCTGTGCAACAGAGTGTTTTTTTACTTACCACAGTAACACAGAGAGATTTTCTAGCAAATAGTTTCAATTTAAAGATTGTCTGAATTAATGGGATAGGCTCTCTGCATTTATGCAGGGTCCTGGCTCAGGTATGTCAGGGCAATTATTTAAACTTCTGTATCTCTCCATGAAGACTGAGAATAAACTTTTTAAAAACAAATTCAGTAATCTGTGTCCTCACACTCATCATAGATGCAGGCAGAGGAGGAGAAACTCTGCTTTGTGGACCCTTCCCTCAGCTCATGATTTTGTCAAATAAATTTTGAAAAATAAAAACAAAGAAAAGGCAAACTACTATTTGCATAAGCTGTTTTCCTCACACTTCAATTTCATTCTCCTCTCAACATTTGTATTTTCTTCGTAAGATCAAAAGGCACGTAGATCCTGGCCCATGTTTATATTTGAAATAGTCCTGGAAATTATCTGCGCTCTTTAATTGAACAGTCATGCAGAGCAGCCTGGGTGGTTTTGTGACTGACACCGTGCTCTGGAAGTGCACTGAGGCATGAAGACAAGACAAGTGCATTTGTTGTAACTGAGAAATGTCGTAACCATCGTGAGCCTGTGGCTGTCCTGAGAGTCAGTCCTAGCTGAGACCCTCTTAGCCTAGCAGAGCAATGGGCTCTCAGTCACTGTTGAAATAATACTGAGATTATAATATGGGTTTATATGGCAGGTAGCTAGAATTCCTGGAACACTCCATTTTGTGCTGTAATATATATGTTGCAAGGTACAACACTTTACAAACTGGAAAAATCTGATTTCTACCAGCAGAACAAAAAGAACTAAAGCATTTGGATACAAATCTGTATAGCCTTAACTCAGACCCCTCCTGTCCAGCCAGAGGATTGCTGTCCTTCATGACATAATCACATACAGCATTTTCCCCTTTATTTTAGGCCTCAATTCAGCAAATGGGCACATGACTTTCTTTAAACAAATACCTAATCCCATTGCTATTAAGATGGCCCAGAGGCTTAATTAATTGTATGATATATTACCTTGCTGAGAAAACCAGAGCACTCCAACCACCATATGTTTTGGTTAATAGATCTTTTCATAGGGATTGCTGAATAAGAAACTGTGAGGCAAAGAGGGACCATATAAAAGGAATTGGACTACTTGCAGTTTAAGCAATTTATTATTGCATGACAATGCAATCTACCTGCAGTAGATTTCTTTTTCTTTTTTCCACTTTTTAGTTAACCAAAAATTAAAAGCAAAACAGTAAAATATGTAAAATCAAACATGCTATTTCCTTCAAATGAATTCTATTGATACTATCAAGTATAATTAATGCAATTCCATGCAGTTGGGTGTCCATTTGTGTTACATTACTGCTTACATAATTAACATATGAATTCCATAAATTTAGCTTGCATTCTTGGCTCTGCAGCTGGATTCTCTAAAGCCAGTAGTCCTACTTCCCTTTCCACTTAGACCAATATGAAGCTTTATACAGAAGTTTTAAAACAGTTAATGTGGAGAAAAAAATTCCTACTTAAATTTTACTTGTATAAAATTAAAGCTAGATAAATCCTGTCTTTTTCTTTTTTCCAAGGAAAGGATTTACAAGTTCAGAGTTATAACTAAAATACATACTGGCCTCTGAATATAATCCACAGCTTTCAGTAAGTAAATGTAAGATATCTACCCTGCTGAGCTACTCCAGGTGTACCCTGATATAATGTCACTGTCATCAGTAAAATTTCAGCTGTTGAAAGCTGAGGCCAGACTATCTTTATAGTATTTTTACTTTGCAGACATAACACTGAATGCATAAAGACTTATTGTAATTTTCATTTATTTTGCTTTCCCTAACTACTGACCGTAAAACATATCACAAAGGACTGTTAGAATCCCATTTTCATTCTTGATGTTTGCTGATGTCTTCTGTTGGTGGTAGGAAACATGTTTTGTTATGCTTTGACCAAGTAGATGAATCTGAATGGTTTTCTAGGCAAATGCTTTTCACATGTAAGATTTGCTTTTGCCCGAAAAAAATGTAAAGATTAAACAGGAAGGACATATGAGTTTCCTTTGTAAATTCTCTCTGCCTATGTGCAAAAAGCAGGACACTACAGATAATAAAGAGAAGCCTAAAACTATCCTCAGTTGGGGTGTGATAAACAAGGGCATTTTCAGCCTGCATGGGGATGGAAAATGGGTTGGAGTTTTAACCCCTATTTTTCTTTGGTCACACAATTAAGAGGAAGTCCTAAAGTTCACACTTGCCAAAGAAATCACTGTCTTGAGCCAACACACCCTCATACCAGAGAATAAATCATGGCACCCACTCATGAGCCATCACCTTCTTAATGCTCAAGCCCCGTCACTCCTTTGAGAGGCACTGCCTTTTCATTTACCTGTGGATTCCTTCCAAGGCAGCAGGCAGAAGCAAGATGCATAAATTGAAACCTGTTTCCCATATTATGTCATAAAGACCAAGAGGAAGAGCTGTACAACTCAATTATGCTCTACAATTAATACTTCTAAACTGGGATTTCATCTCAGAAAGTAATGTAAATAGAGGTTTAATTCTTTTTTCTGTCTATTACATCAGAAAACGTCTTTATTTTATTCAAATCATAAGGCAGAGACATTAACTTGGAAAGAAACCACTTCCTAGAGGTCAAGAATTGGATAAATGTGTATCTTGGACCCATATTTTTTGGTTTATTGGTAGCTGTGAAGTTAAGCAGAAATCCTTTATTATTTTTACATGTTTCCCAGAGGATTTCAGAAGGGACCACTGTGTGGCTGGTCCTTTTAGTTCAGGCAGCATGGTACAATTTATGTCATGGTGAGGGAAGTTCTAAGACCTTGCTGTAAAGAGCAGGAACAAGTTGCTCACATGTGGACAGAGAACAGAAGCAAAGATATTCCCCTGAAACTGCATGTAAATGTATTTGAAACAAAGTGGGAAAATCTTCATCAGGAACATTAACAAACACACACACTACAATCCTCACTTTAAAAATTACCTTCATTACAAGTGGTGTCAGGTGTATTTACACTACTCGGTGTTTGAGTACACTACACTTTCTTTTACATAAGTAATTTATAATATGAAATAATGCTCCCTTTAAGGCTAATTTGGGGGCTGCTAAACCACATGTATCTATGCTTTACACCCTTCATATCTAAGGAGTGGTATTGAAGGCCAAAATCCAGCTGCTATTTCAGTAAAACAATAAAAGAACATACAAAAGAGACATGAATGCTAATCAGACATCAGGCAATAAATCAGACTATAACTATATTTTTCATATTAAGCTCAGGATTAGTCTTTTTCTATTAGGTTAATCATAAAATCTCAGCTTTTGGCTTGGGTAAAATTCTGCAGAAGAGTAGATTATTACATGAAAAAGCCTGTGGATGGAGTTTACTTATATTGCTAATTGTGTTTCAAACACTGACTGCAACAGTGAGCATTTTTTACAAAATGAAAACAAAAAAGAAAAGAGAACAGAGCTGTCACATCCTTGTAATCTGAACAATGCATGGACATATGAACTGTACAGTTAATTTCTTTTTTCTTTTTCCTACATATAATGATGATTTTTTTAGAATCTTATTTCCTGCAAAGATTAAAAGTAAAAATGAAAATAAATAAAAAATCCTTCTCAGAGGATGATATCATATGGCTTCAATGAATACTGTTTAATGTATTGCAGGGTAGAACAAAACAAATAGAGATCCAACTGTTTTCTGAATGGTACCTATTTCTTTTTAATTCTAAATTCTTTCCTTCTTTACTGACTATCTAAATTAAACCAAGAAGGGTTCTTGGGAGGTTGTTTTTTGTTGTTCTCATTTTTTATTTTTTAATTTCCCTTTGCAGTGTTAGAAAAGCAAAGAAAAAAATCCTTAATCTTTATATTATCTGGCTTTTTTTTTTTTTTTTTTGTGTGTGTGTGTGTGTGTATAAACTTAATGCATGATCTTTTTTTCAGATTTCTTTTTTATAGGACATAATTCTGGAGACAGAAATACAGTAATTAATGCAAGGCTGTGTTATGACCAGTTATCTTAGAGAAGCTAAATTCATAAAAAATATATCAAAGTACTTTTTCTGTTATGAGCAGGTAACTGCTTCATGACAAATAGATTTGAGTGGTGTACAGTTTAAAGGGGAGTTGTAATGGGCTTTTCATCTGCATTACAGGCATGTTCCAGTCCCCGAAATATAGGTCAGATGCTTCTTTCTTCCATTTGTTAATTCTGCTTCTATGCCTTCTAAATAAAGTCTCTCTTTTTCTCTGTCTTGTACAATACCAATTGCAGTTAAAAATTATCATATTCACATATATAGGTGAGCCAAAAGACATTTTGTTTGACTGAGGAGGTGTCAAGCCAGAAGAAGAAATTGAAGCTCAGTCAGCCACACCTGGAATTCTGCCTCTTCTTGTTCTCCCTGTGTGCCAAAGCAACAGCAGGAGACACAGCTCTTGGTGTGCTTAAGAATATCTGCTACAAATGCATTTTAATTTAGCAATGCACCTGAATGTAGGATGGTCATGAGTCTTTGGCTGTATGGGTGCTGTTTCTCTTTACAGCAAAGAATTTTTAAATGAAAAGACTGGATGAACAGAGACATAAACCACTGTACCAAATACTACACATAAATTCCTCCTCTTTGAGATAAGA